TTCAGAGGCAGTTAGTCATATGGGAAGAGATTGTCCATCCTTCTCCAGAGAAGCAGCTGGAGGGTTTGAACTGTACACGTTTGGTATTACAGCACAGTGTCTTACCATTAGGCCACCAGAGCTCTTTCTGAAAGAGACAATGGTAAGAAGTTGTGCTGCAATCCTGAAGGCACACAGTTCAAATCTATCCACTGCTCTGCCGGTGAAAGAAGGGGAATCTCCTCCTGTGCAATTAAACTGCCTCTGAAAACCTGGTGGAGGGTCAGCTACGGGTCGGTTCCTACTCAACGGAACGTAACAACAAAACCCTATATAAAACTGCCAGGAATAAATTTAGTCAGGGACATAAAAGACAAAATAAAAATTTAAAAACTCTGCTGAAAGACATTAAGGAAGGCTGAAAGAAATACATTCCATATTCATGAACTAGAAAACTTAATATTGTTAAAAGGTCATACCACAGGAAGCAATGTATAAATTCAAATAATTTCCAGTCTAATAACTAGTAACCTTTGTTACATAAATGGAAACACAGAACTAATCTTCAACTTTCTGTGAAAAGCCAGGAAGCAAGTAATGAAAGCAATATTGAAAGAGAACAAAGTAGGAGTATTCATATTAAGTGATTTAAAAATATATAGCTAGTTTTCAAAACAGCTCCATGCTAGTATAGTTACAGACATACTAACCAATGTAATAGTAACTTTAGAGTTCATAAAAAAATTATATATTTACAGTCAAATCATTTTTAACAAGGTTGCTAAGTACATTAGGTGGAGAAGGAAAATATCAAGAGATATCACCAAAGAGGGCATTAAAGCAGCCACCAAACACATGAAAAGATTCTCATATCAGCAATCAGAGAAATGTAACTAAAACTATAAGGAGATGTCATTTCACTCCAACTTGGATGATGTAAGATCAACGACCAATGATACTAAAAGAAGACGGCCAAGCTACTCTGGAGACACCGGCAAAAATAAGGCTCTGGAATTAACAGAGTATCATTTAAAATGTAAGATGTTTCACTAGGGATACAGCCCTGGATGTGCTCACTCATCTAAATCAGAAATTTGGAAGAGAGTTAACATACTAAGGGTTAAATTTGAGCCTAATTTTTTAAAAAAAATTATCTACAGAATGTGAAGATTATCAAACAGGATTATTAATATTACATTCAAGTACAATCTTGGGGAAGATAATTCAGAAACAGAGCAGGATGTTGTCAGGGAATTGCCAAAAATACAAGTTGGATATGGAAAAGAATTGAGAAAAAGAGATATCATTGTCAATATCAAATGGATCTTGGCTGAATGAAGAGAATACCTGAATAAAAAGTTTACTTGGTTTTTTTGCTATGCTCAGTCACTGAACTGTGTTAATCATAAATTACGGCTAACATTGTGAAGAATAGGAATTGCCAGAACACCTAATTGTTTTCTTGCAGAATTTGCACATAGCCTTCAAAATGGATTACATCTTAACCTTAAAAAAAACAAAAATTCTCACCTTTGGGTCAGCAGGCAAGATCATGACTGACTGAGAAAGACTGAAATTGTTAATGATTCCATCTTACTTGGATTCACAATTAACATCCTTGGTATCAGCAGTCAAGAAATCAAAAGAAGTGATGAATCAGGAAAATCTACTCTCAAGGACCTCTCTAAACTGCTGAATAGCAATTATGTTAAAGACTAATGTGTACCTGATCTAAGTCATGATCTTTTCAGTTACTTGCTATGCATCTGAAAGTTGGACAATGACTAAAGATAACAGAAGAATCATCAATGCCTTTGAGCTGTTGGAGAAAAGGACTGAATATTCCACAGACTGTCAAAAGAATAACAAATTTGTCTTGGAGAAAGGAAAACCAGAATACTCTTTGGAGGCAAGGATATTGAAGCTTTGTCCCAGGTACTTTGGGCCTGTTTGTAGGAGGGGCCAGTCCTTGGATAAAGGGATCATGAATGGAAAGGTGAAGAGTCAGCACAGGAGAGGAGGGCTGTCAACAAGATTGACTGACATAGTGATTGGGCTCAGGTATAGCTAAGAAAGTGAGGATGCTTACAACAAATACACAGTGAAAGGCAGATACATATATGGTACTCTGGTGGCCTAGTAGTTAAAGAATTGCACTGACAATCCAAAGCCAGATGCTTCCAATCTGCCAGCTGTTCTATGGGAGAAAGATGGGCAATCTTTTCCTGTGCAATTTACAGTCTCTGAAAACTGGCTTCAGGGTCAGCTGTGAATATGTTCTGACTCAATGGCAATGAGTTTACATACACACACAGAGCGAGAAAGAGCGAGAATGACACCACTCATAACTCAAAGGCTGCACAGAAACAGGACATAGCAGATCAGACTGTACCATCATGAGCTAGAGCTCCAACTCTGGCTCAAATATACATAGAGAGAAGGAGGGGGGAGAAGGAGGGACAGAGAGAGAGATAGATTTACTTGTAGGCAGTTAGGTAACTTCTCCTCCCTTATTGTAAAGAAATCAAAAGACGAGTTGCTTTAGGGAAGTCTGCTGTCAGGGACCTCTCCAGAGTGCTAAAGCAACAATGACAGTCTAGAGACTAAGATGCACCTGATCCAGGCAATGGTCTTCTAAACTGCTTGCTACACTTCTGAGAGCTGGACAATGACTAAGGATGACAGAAGAATTGATGCCTTTGAGTTATAGTGCTGGAAAAGAGTATTGAATATAACATGGACTGCCAAGAGAACAAATAAATCTGTCCTGGAGAGGGTGAAACCAGGTTATTCGTTGGAGGCTAGGATTTTGAAATTCTGCCTCATATATTTTGGGCATGATGCCAGGAGGGACATGTCCTTGGAAAAGGACAGCATGCTTGAAAGGGTGGAGGGATAGAGCAGGAGAGGAATGAGCTGGATTGACACAGTTACTGGGATAGTGGGGATAGGTGTGTCAGAGATTGTGAGGTTGGTTCAGGATAGGACAGAGTTCAGATCTATTCTTCATAGGGTCACTGTGAATCACAGTCAACAAGGTGGCACAAAACAACAACTCTATTATTAAAAAAAGAAAGAATAATAGAGAATTTGCTTATTTTCTTGCCTCACTGCCATCAAGTCAGAACAGAATGATATATAGCTAAGCCTCCAGCAGGTTTTCAGAGACTATAAATCCCACTGAAGGTGGTTACCTACATGTATTCCTTGAAACTGATGAAAGAGTTGAACTGCCAGAGAGATGAAATCTTTGGGTAAGCAGCACAACTTCCTGCAGACTATGCTGCCAGAGCTCCCTAAATTTGCTTTATAAGTGTGTCTAAACTGCTGGTGTACTAACTTAAAGACAAATTTTAAGAATTACTTATATGAAAACTAAATATACTATTGGAAAAAGAATAGCTATTGGAAAGCCTCCTATCATACTTCTTTACCTGTTCACCTCATACTAAACCCACGTGTGTCAGAACACAGCTGTTCTCAATGACTGTTTTTCACGAGCGGATGACCAGAGCTTTCTACACAAGTGCTCAGGTTAAATGCAAAGGCATTAATTGTTTGCAACACCCAGGAACTTCAACCAGTGGTAGAGAAGGATAGCACATCGAGTCCTCTCAGAGTCCGCTCATTACGACCTTAACATCTCTACAAAGTACCAAAAGAGACACTAATAATGACACCATTTTTAACTATTACACTCATCAGAAAACAGAACTTCCACTAAAATGAGCTCAAGTGTCTCCACAAAGTACTCCTGGCTTACAACATTTATTTTGCACTCTAGCCCAAGTATATTCCACAGTGGGCACATAGCAATGTCAGAATCTCGTTTAATACATTCAGGCTTGTATAAGGAAGTAAGATCTGAAGGGTCAATAAGAGTTGATGGCTTTGACTTATTTACAGAATTAACGTGGCTTATACTTATTTGTGTGTTAGTTCTTTTACTAAAAAAACCTAGCAGCTATCTCAGAAGGAACCATGAAGGAAATGATACCATGCAAAAGAGGGAGACCGACCATTCTTGTTTCACTTTGACCTTGAACATGAGCATTCACCAACTTCGGGCTTAAGAGAACTCTACTCTCAGAGAGGAGAAAAATAAAGAATTTTTCTAATGCATATTGTGGAGACATCATCCTACCAAGGATTTCAAGCTTACCTTAAAACAATCATTTCCTTCCTAGTAAAAGCTAATTTTAAGGTAAATTTGACAAGTTTTGTCTTCTAACTCAAAACTTTTCCTAAAAAAAAAAAAAACAAAAAAACTTTTCCTGCCCTCCATAAAACAAAACCACTCTTTACCTTGTATTACTCAAGAGAATATTTTTGCCCACTGGGACAAAAATGTACAACTCTTATGCTCAAGAAGCTGCGCTGGGATCCTAAAAGGACATGGTTCGAATCTATCAGTGCTGGAGGGCCAGCTATGGGCCAGGTCTGACTCAAGAGAACACAACTACACTGTGCTCAAAGCCATTCCGCCTCATATGACCCTATCCAGAAAGTCTTACTGCTAAAAGTTACCTTTTAAATCTCTCAGCATTTCCATAAAAAGTTTCAACTTATTATGCGCCCCTGTTTGTTTCATTTTTACCATAACCTCTCAGGGTCGATGGCCTTTTGCACATACTGGCCTAACCTTCACTCCTCATTGTAGTTCTACGATTTATTCTACAAACCCCCTGCCCATCCTCGAGACTTATTCTCTACATAAAAGTCTCTTCCTGAACGGCCACCCTCTTTCCTCTGCGTACACGGCTATATCTAAAGGCACACAGTTCTTGCAGCTTTTCTACCTCCACTTCTTAGACACTTTTGCCTCCAGGCTGCGGGCTGGCAAGGATGCTAAGCTGTCAACACAGAGCGCCGCATGCGCAGTGCGGCCCCACCAGCCGCTGGCCCTTCCCCGCGCGGGATGGGGCCGAGGCGGGTCCTAGAGACAGGCGCGTTAAGAAAGGCCCGGGCTGGTTTGGGAGGGTTGCGCCCAAGAGGGCAGCGTGGCGTGCGGGCACACTCACAATTTCAGCATCCACTCGCCCTCCATCACCAGCGTCCAGTTGGAGGCGGTCATGGACTGGACCAGGCTCCGCTTAGCCGGCGGCACCTCGGCCTTCTCAGGGTCGGCCACCACCGCTGCGAACCAAGCAGCGAGGAGCGCCATCCGTCGCAGGCCGAAACGCCAGCCCGCCATGTTGGCTGCTCGGCCCGAGGTGTGGAGGGAGGAAGCGATGGAGGTCACCGCCTCGTAGGCCTGGCCGGGCCTTCTTAGGAGGTCCCCCGAGGAGTTAGGCCAGCCCACCCC